CGCCCGGAACCAGATACAATATTGAAAATATTGTCCCAACAGTGAAACATGGTGGCGGAGGCATAATGGTATGGGGGTGTTTTTCGGGAAAAGGGCTAGGTCCACTAATAAAAGTAGATGGAAAAATGAATAGCCGTGACTATATAGAAATACTAGAATTGCAGTTGCTTCCGCATGTTTGTAATAAATTTAATGGAAGAGGGTATTTGTTTCAAGATGATAATGCGCCTGTCCATACAGCAAAAGTCGTCAAAACATGGATAGAAACAAATAAAATAAAAACTTTAAAAAATTGGCCAAGTCAATCTCCTGACTTGAATCCAATTGAACATCTATGGAAAGAGTTGGAAATGAGAATTCGTAAAAGACCTAATAAATTTAAAAATAAAAATGAACTCGAGGTCGCTTTGCACGAAGAATGGAAAAACATTCCTGAAAATGTTTTAATAAATTTGATAGAAAGTATGCCCCGAAGAATTCAAGCATGCATTAAAAGTAATGGTTGGCCAACTAAGTATTAGATTAATAAGGGTTTAGCTACTTCAAGATAAAAATAGTTGTGGGTAATTAATAACAGTAACCATCACTAATAAAAATTGATGATCAACATTTTTTTAAAAATATTTGAATTTCCGTTATTTTTAATTACTCAAGTTCTAGTAAATTTAGAAACATAAGATCCTGTATACATAATCTTCGGAACCTAAGCTATAAACTGACATAAATTTTCTGTATACTTATTATGTACGTTTTTGTGTAATTAATACATTTAGGGGGTCCGATACTTTTGTCCAGGTACTGTATATATTAATTCTATATTGCATGATTGTTAAGTATATCAATATATTTAGATTTTAGTAAAAATAAGCTATAGAATTTGAATCATATTGTTCTCTTACTGATCTAATAAGTCCTATAGAAAAATAATATAATAAAAATTAATAATACATGCAATTTTTCATTGGTTGATCTCACTTAATTTTTGTGATACAATAACAGCCAATGATAGGATTTTTATCTATTCTATGAAATATATAGTCTGGAAAAAAAACTTAGACCAATTAAAAAAGAGTTTGAAAAAATGGACAAAATAAAGTTTGATCCTCCAACAATTACTGCAGCTACTGCAGTAATTCATCCAAATGCAGTTTATACTAGCAGGTTATTAAATTTTACAAACCTTCCCCAACTGTGAATTTCAATAAACTGACAATTATCAGTAGTTATGGTAATTATAATCATTGATTATTTTTCATTTTTAAAATATATAACATTTATTAATTAATATCTATTCTTGTGATAAATATTTTTTTAGATACTCAACAGATTGAATTAACTATACCAGATGACTTACCTGAATAAGTTAAATCTTGTCATTTATTTTATTTATTAGTTACTATAGTTGTGGTATTAAATGAAGTTATAGATAATTAGTTACTTATATTTGATAGTGATATTATATAACTTCTTGCAATTGTCATATCTTTGGAATTTCGAAGTTTGTATGTCAAATATGCACACCAAAACAATGATATTTAACAAAAAAACAAATGTAATTTTTAATTTTTAATCTTTAATAACCATTATCATCATAAGCATACATATCAAAAAAATAAAAATAACCTGATTCAAGCAGTTTCTTCATTGCCATCACAATCTATATCACAAATTTCAACATCATCCCCCTGGTTTTAAACTGAAAGATCTTTATCTACATTGGTACTTTGCCTTTATTGTTCATCTTATTTAGCCAATTTTGAGTTGTACAGGAAATATTAGAGTTGCTTTGCCTCCTTACCTTGCTATGCAACTCGTTGAATAAAAAACTACCATGAGCATCATATGATAAGGAAGAAACAGCAAACAAAAAGACACTTTCTTGAATGTGTCAAGATCAGAAACATTAATCAATGTGATGGACCAGGTGAAAATGTTGATCATGCCAAAAATGCCAAAAACCAAGCTAATAATAATACTGTATCATCCTTGTATAATCAATCACATATCATGTAAAAGACACAAGTTTTGCACCATGTTTATTAAGATGTTTATGATATTGTATTAAACAAGAAAAGATGTCAGTACAAGGAAATAAATAAATCTCAAGTAAAAAAAAAGTCTTCTAAACTGATCAATTATTTTTTTTTAAAGAAAAATAGGGGTTGAGTTTTCGTATTAGTGGATTGACAAAATACCATGCAGTGCAGAGTATAGAGGGTGTGCATTTATCTCAAAGTCCAGAGGTTGGGACCAAGGCATAGTGTGCATTTCCATAGGTGTTATAACGTTATAGTGGTAATGGCCAGTGAACAGGCTATGCCGTTATAATAGTAAAACATATCCCCACATAGTGTGGCTGACTCTATGTATTAACACTACATGTGGATCCCACTGTGGTCAATTCATTGCTGGCATTCTCGATAGTTTATATGTATGAAAAGGAAAATCCATCTGATCCTGCATATATATATATATATATATTTGGTTTTGTTTATACTCATCATAAGTACAGGTAATTTTTTCAACTTTAATTTCTTACAGGTTTTGTCTTTGTTTGATGATATTAGCTTTTTATTGACATTGAAGGCCTTGAAAGTTGATGCAGTGCCGTCGGTGAGTGATGATACTATAATATGAATACTTTGAAGAATGAAACAAAAAAGCTTTCAAACAAATATATTCATTTTCTGAAACTAAGAGTGGTGTGGGAAATTTAGCTAGTGCAATGAGAAAAAATTCAATTAAAAATGCAAAATAAAATATATAAAATTTCATCATCAGATATATATATATATATCAGTTACAGATGATGTTATAGATTCTATACTAATAGTCAATTTAAAGGGAAAATAAGGCTCAAGCTGTTTTGCTTCTTCTGGTACCACATGTAATACAATAAGTCTGTCCAAGTAGCAAGCCTAATACTAAGGATCATTTTCATTTAACGGTGAATTTTTATAGGTGCGAGATTGTAGTATAATAATATAAAAGAACCTTCTCTTCAAGAAATATTTTGAAGGTGGTTTGTCAATTTCAACTAAATAATATATTGTTCTTTTGTATCTTGAGCTTTGTATATTAATGACAATTTATCTCCCTCGGAAAATTTTACCGGCTATCTTCTAGTAGCCGCTTTTCTAACTAAGATAAAATAAAGAAATGAATATACTACTTGAGGCATCCTTGACGGACAAATAATATTAAACATTGTATAAGAATTGCGGATCACCCAGAGCCTGAGGATTTGTCAATAATATACCTGGTTTCGCCGATTAATAATTGATGACCAAAACGTAGATACTGTACTTCTTTGAGCTCGAGGTTGACCTTTTAAGGTCATATATATATTTGCGTTACTAGTATATCGTCATTTCAAATCATTCTAAGAAGCATGAAGGTTGAAAAAAAAATGGATCGCGCATAGCAGAACTGAGATTTCACTCATACTCTATCCGTAATTTACATGTCAAGAGCTGTTCATACTATCATTTGGGCTGGGATTTCACCCATGCTTTGGATTCACGATTTACGTGTCAAAAGTTGCCTTCTACTAAATAAAAAAATACGTTCACTTTTTTTTTATCACTTTATCTCTCAAATGTTCTATCTCTTATAGAAAGCACAGGTTCTGTAAGCTGTGATTAGCATGGCAAGTTTTCGCATTTTGATAGTTTCTCTGTTGGAGTTCAAGTAAGGTATACCCTCCGGAAGAGTATTAATATTAAGCATGCAGGTACGAAGAATGTCAGGATGAGAAATAATTAATATTTTTACACAAGCCTGAAAAAGTAGCTGACAAAGATTACCTGAATACACAAAGGAACTTTTCCTCTAATGATGATGCATAAAAATTTTTTGTTTGCAAAAACTGGATTGTTCCACGAAAAATGTGAATGTCGTGATTGATAATCAATAGAAAATTGTCAAAATTTTTTTTTATATCAGAAAATGCAGAAAATGATAGAACAAGAATTATTGCAACAAGCAACCGATAAATGGGCAGAGATTAAAAATAAGGATCCAAATGAGCTCATAAAATCATTAGATATTATATCTGAATTGCTTTTACATCCTAAATTAACTTTAAAAATTGCTGAATCACTCAGACCAATTCTAATTGATTTAGTTTCACGCTGGTCATTACAACTAAATATTGATAATTACAATAACACTAAAAGCAACCAATTATTTTCAAATAAAGAATACTTTTTGAGAATTGAAAAGGTTGCTCTTGCTTTTACTCAATTATTACCAATAACTCCCCAACTGTTGAGGTAAGAAGTGCACATGTTTTATATATTTATGTATTTATATATATATATATGTATATAGAAAGAACTAGATCAATTTAAAAGTATATTGAAAATTATATACTACATATAAATTATTAGTATTGCTATTTCTTTTTTTTCTACATCACCTTCCTTACTAGAAAGGTTGAATTATTTACATGAGGAGGTAAAGTTTTACAATTAAAAAAGATTTTTCATTTTCTGATTTTTATTGATCTAACATTGTAAATTTATGTAAAAAGAATTCTTCATCAATAAAAGATCTACAATTATTATTAGTGACAATATATCGACTTTTAAAGTTTTCCGTTAGTAGTTTTGTTCACCTGTGGAATTGGACTCCGCTTTTTCAACTATTATTGCATTCTGATAACACTATTCGTTACCTGACTATTTTATGTTTAAGTATTGTTTATAATATGAGTGTTACTCAACAAGAGATTGCATTAGAATATTGGACATGTTCTTCTAAATCCCATCACATCATCAATTACTTGGAATTGGAAAATGGTGAAATCATAGATGTTAGAATGTTGAGATTATTTGATGAGATTTCTAATGCTAAAAAGCAACATTCTCTGCTACTCGATTGTGAAAATAATAATAATAATGTATTTTCAATATCATCAAGTTACTTGAATAATTCTGATTTATCTCCAGCTACCATCAATATTTGTGGTGTTCTACTCCCTCTAACCAATTCATCATCTTCATCATCAGCATCAACGTCATTGTCAAATAATCGTCTTATATTAACAGACACAACAAAACTTAATCTACATTCAATATGTTTAGCACTTTCTATGAATTCGCCAATTTTACTTGAAGGAGTAACCGGATCTGGTAAAACTACTTTGGTCGAAGAGCTTGCATATTTAACTGGACATGGTGAAGGTTATTGTTATATATATATATATATATATTCTTCCTAAAAAGAAACTCTAACAAAATGTATTTATATATTATTTAGATCTTATAAAAATACATTTAGGCGATCAAACTGATTCAAAAGTCCTGCTAGGGACTTATGTTTCTACTTCAACGCCTGCTTCATTCCGCTGGCAACCTGGAGTTCTAACTACTGCTGTATCTAAAGGTCGTTGGGTTTTAATCGAAGATATTGATTTTGCTCCAAATGATGTCATTTCTGTTATATTACCTCTGCTTGAAACAAGGCAACTTTTTATTCCCAATAGAGGTGAAAAAATAAAGGCTCATCCAAATTTTCATTTATTTGCTACTAAAAGTCAGATTCCTGTTGGAATGAAAAAATCTTCAAATTCTATCAATTCAAATATTGAAACTAACTTGTGGACAAGAATTACCATAAATCCTTTAACTTCAAATGAACTCAAATACGTTATAAAGAATCAATTTTTTAAAAATCTTGACAATCAAAATATTATCGAAATTCTTCATTCTTTAATAACCTATTATCAAAACTCATCACCAGCATCACCAATAATATCACAAACGGATACATCTGATCTTCAAGCGGAATCACCGCCACCACCGCCACCAAAATTGATCTCATTCACTTCAAATTTTGCTCGATATATTTCTATCCGTGACCTGATGAAATGGTGTCGTAGGAGTGAGCTACTTTTGAGATCAAAAACCATTTTTTCAACCAACCAACCAATCTCATATACGCATTATGACATCAATGACATTAGAAATGATTTATTCAGTGAGGCTGCTGATTGTTTTTGCGCCATGATTTCTGATTTTGATGCTTGGATAAATTCTTTACTGAAACTTGGCGATGTGTTGGGTATTACTGCAGAAAGAGTACATTATTATGTGAACTCTTATGTTCCCAATCTTTATATTACCAATGACCATATCATAATAGGGAGAGCCAAATTAATTTCTCTGGATAGCAAAAAGGAAAAATATTTAAAATATGCTATCAACCATAAAAATATTTTTGCTAATACTGGACATTCTTTAAGATTAATGGAACAAATAGCTGTTTGTGTAAATTTAAAAGAACCAGTATTGCTGGTTGGTGAAACTGGCACCGGAAAAACTACTGTTATTCAGCATTTGGCTGATATGCTTAATCAAAATCTTGTTGTAGTTAACTTATCTCAACAGACAGACAGTAGTGATTTGCTTGGTGGCTTCAAACCTGTCGATGTGAAAATTCTTGCCATACCATTAAAAGATGAATTTGACAAGTTGTTTGAGAAAACCTTTTCGATTAAAAGGAATCCGCATTTTTTAGAAGCTGTACGTAAAGTATTTACATCAAAGAAATACACAAAGTTTTTAACTTTATTAAAGCAAGCTGCCAAGATGGCCAATCAAACATTCGATAATAATCATAATAATGACGATAATAATGATGACAATGGTGATGACAATGATGGTGGTGATGATAATAATCAGAAGCGATCATCACGAAAACTGTTAACTCCTGACTTACGTGGTCGTTGGAAAATTTTTGAAAATCAACTTCAAGAATTTGAAATTCAATTAAATCAAATAAAAAATAAATTTGTTTTTAGTTTTGTTGAAGGCTCTTTGGTCAAAGCTGTGAAAAATGGCGATTGGATTCTTTTGGATGAGGTTAATTTGGCTTCTACCGAAACATTAGAATGTTTAAGTGGTCTGCTTCAAGATTCAAACAGTTCTATACTATTAACCGAAAAAGGTGATTCCGAACCTATAAAAAGACATCCTAATTTTCGAGTCTTCGCTTGTATGAATCCTGCTACAGATGTTGGTAAACGTGATCTACCACCAGGCCTCAGGAATAGATTCACCGAGTTTTACGTTCACCCAATAGACAACAGATTTGATGACTTGATGATTATTGTAAAACAATATTTATCCGATTATATAACCAGTAAGGATGAACGAATTTTTAATGATATAGTTGAATTTTATATTGCCGTCAAAGATTTGGAAAATCAACATAAAATTGTCGACGGTGCTAACCAGCGTCCACATTTCAGCATGAGAACTTTGACAAGAGCTCTAAGGTATGTCACACAGATTATTCAAACTTATGGTTTAAGACGGTCGATATATGAAGGCTTTTGTATGACCTTTTTGACACAACTGAATGGTGAAAGTGTAGTAGTTTTGGAAGGCTTAATTGAAAAATATTTATTGAAAGATGTTCAAAATCCAAAGTCACTAATAAAACAAATACCCAAACAACCATCGTCAGATAATAATTATGTTCTATTTGGATGTTTTTGGCTTTCGCTCGGAAATTACCCACCAGAAGAAATGCCTCATTACATATTGACACCTTCCATCAAAAGAAGCCTAAATAATCTCGCAAGAGTATTAATGAGCAAAAAATTTCCTGTTTTGCTTCAAGGACCAACCTCTGCCGGTAAAACCAGCATGATACAATATTTGGCTAAATGCACTGGGCATCGATTTGTTAGGATAAATAATCATGAACATACAGATCTTCAGGAATATTTGGGAACTTATGTTTCAAATTCGGAAGGGAAACTTGAATTTCAGGAAGGTATTCTCGTCGAAGCTTTAAAAAATGGATATTGGATTGTTCTGGACGAATTAAATTTGGCACCAACGGATGTCATGGAGGCACTTAATAGACTTTTAGATGATAACCGAGAACTTTTAATACCTGAAACCAACGAAATAGTCAAGCCACACAAAGATTTTATGTTGTTTGCTACCCAGAATCCACCAGGACTTTACGGTGGCAGAAAAATTTTGTCCCGGGCTTTTCGTAATAGGTTTATGGAACTTCATTTCGATGATATTCCAGAAGGTGAGTTGGAAACTATTTTGTCGGAAAGATGTAGCATTGCTCCATCTTATTGCAAAAAATTAGTTATGGTATACAAACAACTGATTGAGAGACGACAAGGAACAAGGATATTTGAACAAAAACACGGTTATATTACTTTGAGAGATTTATTTCGTTGGGCTGAAAGATGTGCAATTGGATATCAAGAACTAGCCGAGCAAGGCTATATGCTTCTTGCCGAGAGAATAAGAATACCTGAAGAAAAGGCAATTGTTAAGCAAGTTTTGGAAACAGTAATGAAAGTCAAGATTGACGAGAATCAAATGTACAATTGTTCTAAATTGGACGAGTTTCAGAAATTTAATTTGATTCAAAACACTAGTGACCGCATCAATAACAATGATATGATGGTATGGACAAAAGCCATGAAAAGATTATTTACTTTGGTTGCTAATTGTTTAAAATTTAACGAACCTGTTTTATTAGTTGGCGAAACTGGATGTGGTAAGACTACAATATGTCAAGTTTTGGCGGAAATATATGGTTCCCAAATTCATATTGTTAATTGTCATCATAGCACTGAAACTGCTGATTTGCTCGGTGGTCAACGACCCTTGAGAAATAAGGGAATTTTGAGTGCTGAGCTTAAAAATGATTTGTCGGAATATTTGTTAAAATATGCTTTAGAGAACAATATAGATTTGAAAAAAATGGAATTGAAAAATTTGATTGAACTTTTTGAAATTGTTTCCAGGGATGAGAATTATAATAATAATGATAATAATAATAATGATAGCATTAATGATAACAATTATGATAATGATGAACAAATGGAATTGTCATCATCAACAGAAAAGTGTTATTCAGTTAGCTTGCTAAAGCTACGTTGTAAGCAATTGAATACTTTATTTGAATGGCATGATGGACCCTTGATTCAAGCAATGAAAAATGGGGAATTCTTTTTGTTAGATGAAATTTCTTTGGCCGATGATTCTGTTATTGAACGTCTTAATAGTGTTCTTGAGCCAAGTAGGATTTTAGTTTTACCAGAAAAAGGAGGAGAACAAATTGAAGAGTTAGTAGCAAAACCTGGTTTTCAATTTTTAGCCACTATGAATCCAGGCGGTGATTATGGTAAAAAAGAATTATCACCTGCTTTAAGAAATCGGTTCACGGAAATCTGGGTACCTTCAGTAATCGATAACGAAGATTTAATTCAAATAATCGATTCAAAGTTGAATCATAACAATAGCTTAAAAGGTTACGCGCAACGTATATTGAATTTTGTTGATTGGTTAAAACATTCCTTGGGCTCCAATTTAATTACTACAAGTTTGAGAGATATTTTAACATGGGTATTGTTTATGAATAGCACCGTGGAATCAATTGGGGCAGAAAGAAGTTTCATCCATGGGGGATTCCTTGTTTTCATAGATGGGCTTGGTTCAAATTCCACTTCTGGATCATTTTCATCTGGACTAAACTTAAAAGACTTTCGCGTAAAATGCCTAAAAAAATTAGTCGAACTGATTGATGATCCTGAATTTTCTAATATTTACTTTAATAATGATTTTATTGATGCTAAAAAATTAAGTTCTACTGAAAATGTTTTTGGAATTCATCCATTTTTTATTCCTAAAGGTTCTCTTGACACTCGACCGATTTCTTTTACTCTTCAAGCTTCTACAACCATGAATAATACATTAAGAATTCTGAGAGCAATGCAAGCTAAAAAACCTATTTTATTGGAGGGTAGTCCAGGTGTAGGCAAAACTAGTTTAGTTTCAGCATTAGCGGCAGCAACGGGCCACAAATTGATCCGTATTAATTTGTCTGATCAAACTGATTTAATGGATCTGTTCGGCTCTGATCTTCCGGTTGAAGGTGGAGATAATTGCGAATTTGCTTGGCGTGATGCGCCTTTTCTACAGGCAATGAAAACTGGAGATTGGATATTATTGGATGAGTTGAATTTGGCTTCTCAATCGGTGCTGGAAGGTCTTAATTCCTGTTTAGATCATCGTGGCACAGTCTACATACCTGAATTGGATAAAGAATTTTCTTGCTCTCGCGAATTTCGTGTGTTTGCGGCACAAAATCCTTTTCATCAAGGGGGTGGTCGAAAAGGTCTCCCAAAGTCTTTTACCAATCGTTTCACTCAAGTTTACATTGAACACCTGACAAAAGATGATATGCTTTTTATTTCTAAATACCTTTTTCCAAGAATCAACTGCAAAACTTTGGAAAAGATTATTGATTTTAATAATAGGGTCTATCAAGATTCAATGATAGAATGTGTATTTGGTCGAAATGGAAGCCCGTGGGAATTTAATCTTAGAGATGTTTTTCGTTGGTTAGACTTGTTGAATAAAGACCAAGGATTTGGATATAACTCTGAACCAGAAGATTACTTGGATCTTTTATACCTTCAAAAAATGAGAACCAAGGAAGATAGAGATCATATTATTTTGATTTTTAATGAAATCTTCGATAAAAATATCAAACATCCAAGGCGTCCATATTACCATATTGATTCAAAATTTTTTCAAGTTGGTCATTCAATCTTGAAACGTCGATGCTTTATCTCAAATACAAAATTTCTAGAAATTCCATTGCATATTTTTCAATCTCAAATGAGACCTTTTCAAGCATTGATGAAATGTGTTGAAATGAATTGGATGGTGATATTGACTGGACCCGAGTCTTCTGGTAAAACTAGTCTGATTAGATTGTTAGCAGATCTTACAGGTAACACACTTGAAGAATTCACAATGAATAGTTCGGTGGACACTGCGGAATTATTAGGTGGATTTGAACAATTGGACTTAGCGAGACATCGACTTTTAGCAATGGAACAATTAAATTCCATATGTAATGAAATTATCAAATGTATTTTGACATTATGTCAAACTAATACCAGCAATGTTGGGAATGACAAGTTGATTCAAATAATCCAGAAACTTAATGACATGATATTCACGCTTGAAAGTAATTACAAATTTAATACTGGAATAAGCCAAAAAAATTCTAGTCCTGCTCTTTCCAAAAGACATATAGATTACACAATAGTTGATCAATTAATCGAATCTATAAGAAAGGCAACCGCTGACCTTCATTATTTATCTTCAACGTATCCTATTGATTTTCAACACATGCTGGATTCAATACAGACACAGATCGACAAAATTAAAACATTGGAAAGCGAAACTGTGAAAGGTCATTTTGAGTGGATTGATGGAATACTTATTAATGCGCTTGAGAAAGGGCACTGGCTTTTAATTGATAATGCCAATGTTTGTAGTCCATCAGTTTTGGATAGATTAAATTCGTTGCTTGAACCAAATGGCGTGATAGTTTTGAATGAACGTGGATTGATAGATGGAGAGGTTAAAGTTTACAAACCACATAAAGATTTTAGAATTTTTATGACTGTAAATCCTAGAAATGGTGAGTTGTCTCAAGCAATGAGAAATCGTGGAGTTGAAATATCGCTTTTGGGATCAGAATTCATTGAAAACAAACAAGATCTAATAAAATTATTTAACGGTTATGGCCTTCGATCTGACAATCTTATTTTATTTATCGATAAATATTTACAAAGTATGAAAGAAAAATCAAGTGCTACTACTAGTTTGCTGAAAAATAATCTTGGTTCTTATATGGCATTAACAAATTTCATATTGGAAAGGCTTCAAAGAGGAGAAAATTTTTCATCAGCTTTAAAAAATACTTTTGATCAATTTGGCGTCATTATTGACGAAAAAGACTTTAATGAGATTCTATCAATTTCACATTACATTAACAACGAAAAATCAATATTGTCTGAAACTGGTTATTTATCAAGTTATCCATTATTTGTCGGTGGTGGTTTATTAAAAGAAGAACCATCTTTGGCCATGATTTGTATCCAAGGATCTTATCTATTGCATCAACTATGTAAACAAGAACTTTTAACTGCTGATGTTGTTGGATTATCACAAAAGTTACTAGTAGCCTGTGACTATTTTGTTGAACATTTTTCCATGGAAGATGTTTCATTAAGATTATGTTGGCTTGATTTTATTTTATCCATGTTCAAGTCCACGGATCTTTTTGAGTTAATTTCTACTCACATAGAATATGTGAAATTTATGATCCATAGCCTTGTAAATCATTCTCGTACTCCTATATTGATTGATTTTAAAAACCAATTATCAAATCTTATAAAGGTTGATCAAACGTTTATGAATTGTCTGGTGAGTGAAATGAATTAGTTTTTTAAAATATTAATTATTCCAAATTAAAAAAATTAATCATAATATTTCCTTCCTCCTTTATATATATATATATATATATAGTCTCTTGATATTACAAATAATCCTACTATACACAAATTATTTAGTAATCTTACAACAACAACACATCACAATTATGCAAATTCTGAAATGATTTTAAATGTCTGGGAAGAATATTCATCAAATATCAAATCATTGTCCTTATCTAAACGTGTTAATCAGGAAGAATTTCTCGAAAATATCGTATATAAAAATGCATCAAAAATTAAAGTTTCAAATATGTCATTAGCTCAACAATCATATTGTTATAACCAAGGCAATATCGGAGAAACGCAAATTTGTCATAAGATTATTTCATTCATATATCCTATTTTACAACAGCTTAAAAATGTTGTAAAATCCAGGATTGAAAATGGCAATTGTGGTGAATTGGAAATTTCAGCAATTAATGATTTGTTGGATATGCGTGATTTTCTATGGGAGTATTTAAGCGCACAGGTTCTTGATCTAGGGAAATTTCATATTTATATTAAAATGATATACAAAGCTGTTGAAAATTTTCAAGATAAAGTTGATAACGCACAACATCTAATAGATATTCTTGATCGTATTATTAAAGATGAAACTCTGAAAACAGGGATGTTTATGAGTACTATTTGGCATAGATTTCATCATATCACATTTTCAAAAATTGAATTATTTCAGTTGGAACAAGAATTAATCAAGATTGGAAAAGAATTTGAAATCAGTGAGGTTAATCTTAATAATAATAATAATAATACTAACCTTGAAATAAAAAAAATGTTAATTGATGCATTTACTTCATTGTATTTTATTGAGGAAAATCATGGTTCTGAATCAATTGAGTTGTTTAACACTATAAAAAAACTTCCAGAGGTAAATTATTTTATTATTTATTATAATATTTTAATTCAATGATTATTCGAAACTAAATAGTAATATTGATGATTATTTTTTAGCATATAAGAAATAAAATTCTAGATTCAAATGTGATGCAGAAAATTGATAGTCAACCTATAGTAAATTTATCATTTCAAGACCAAAAAACAAATCAGATGAATAGTATTATTGATTATTCATCAATGATTCAAGAAATGCAAATTCTACAAATGCTTCAATTTGCTACTTCTGAAAAAACTTATTTGAATAATGTTGGTATACCTTTTTATTTATCATTTATCAATTTATTTTAATTATTCAATAAACAGACATTTAAGTTATTTTATTGTGTTATTTTTTTTTTGGCAGGATAAATTTTGTGAAATTCTTATAAAGATAGGGGAATTTTGTGACTATTTTATAAAAAATGGAACAAGGCCTCCATTAGATTTTGCTTCTCATCAACAGATAATATGGATTTATGGAAAAGGTTCTAATGGTTAGTTACTATATATTAACAAGAAAATACAAGTTTATGTACATGTTGTTTAGCTTTTATATATATATATATATATATATATGTAATATTAAATTTTTTGTTTTGTAAATTTTATGAAATATAGGTAACGATGAATGTATAATAATTTTAACTTTTATATGTATTTCTATTTTATTGAATATATTATTTTTTTTAGAAATACAGTATATATATTTTTGATTTTAAATAAATTATTATTTAACAGAAAAAATTTTATCGATTATGTTTTCCATAATGAGATAACACTAGACAAAAATATTGGAATAATGTCACAAGAAAAATTTTTGGAATTCAAATTACTCAGAATTTGTTAACCGCAAACATCAAACTCAAAAAAAGAACGAGCCTGCTGCCTGGTTGACAGCGAAGGCTGTTAATATTCCCTAGTTTCTTTTGCATGTATTGAAAAATAGTTAAAAAGTATGTTATAACTTGCTTTACACCCTTTGTATACTTTAACCGAGTTAATATTAAGGTTGTTCAAATTTCGATCTTATTACAAATTATTGTATGCTTTAAAGAAAGGGATCATCATTGAGTTATGGAAACAATCGCTAATAAAACAATGGTGTATAATATCTATTCTAATGATAAAATTGGTCAGATTTTAATAGATGATTAATAATTTTTTGAAAGACTAATAAAGAAATTATATCAAAAGACTCTGAAATCATCATCAGTTAGGACAATTAACCAAGCACTTTACGGTCTTTTGACAAGTCGCGCTTCAGAGTAGCGTGTCACGTGCCTCTTTTTTCTATTGGCGATTAATCTATCTTCTCATTGAATGATGAAAAAATGTCTATTTCATTCATTCCTAAGACGACCCTTTTCAACAGATGCATAATTGTTGATGCATATTTAAAAATAAAGCCTGATATAGGCACAAATTGGGAATGTGATTGCTACAAGAAATTGGAATATTCAATATTATATAAATAATTTATTATAACCCACCGACAAAAGCTTCGTTATTGCTTCTCTTAGTAGCATGAAAAGAGCGGTATACTCCTTATGATGAAGGATCTTACTCATACACATGACCGATACCTCCTCCTCCAGAATCAATAGACCCTAATCAAAATATTTCATAACACGATGCGCACGTTGCAGAAGCTCCTATATTTTGATATTCTCCTTCTCTATGCCAGTGGGTAAGGCATAGCACACTCGCTATGCTTGTTAATGTTTACATTCAAATTTCACATAATTGGTAGTAATCTAATCCATGGCCATCCCATGGTATTCGATTTGCTGGTTTGTTTCCGTGACGGCAGCAGTGGTAATCGTTTTATGTGTCCTTGAGATCCTTGTCTCTGATCATGATTCCTATATTAATAAAAAACGTCAAATAAGTGCTAAACAACAACGTTGTCAAAAAAAAAGAAAAAGACCTAGATTTTTTGCGTGATATCATCGTGAATTTCAACAGCCATGACATGAATTCCTTTGCTGGTTTCAACCCAATTTTTAATGTTCTTCAGCTTCTTGATCGACCCAGACTCGGTTCTGGAAACGTGTAAAAACACTAATCTCCAATTTACTCTTCAACACCAATGGGGTATGTATCTAAAATTGTGACTTCGGCTTTGACGTATTAGTATACTTTTTGAAGTAAAAATTATCCCACGTATCTGCCCTCCACTGTCCATATGGCCTCTTCCCAGTAACTGACATGTCGAATTTTGCGCAGGACTTCTTTCGGTAACATATATAGAAAAAATAAAAAAACAATAGGGTAGCAAGGTATAGAAAAATAGCAGGGCTAAAATAATTCTTGCCTTAAATGAGAAATCCTCCTTCAGAATTTTGATTTTTTATTGGTTGTAAATTTGTAAAATTGACAACAGTTAATTACTATATATTAATTTTCAGTAAAGGTTCTGGAACAGGAGGCTCTAAGGTATTTAATGTTAAAGACCAATATTAAAATTGTAAAAATTTTCACTCTAAACTTTTATTTACCTTGTTGTGATTTAATTGATACTTATTTGATGATGTGTTATAATTGAACTCATCAAAATCATAATCATCATTTTGTGATGGATTTAATTCACCTAATTATAATTCTATTTGATCAGTCTTTATAATCTGAAGATGATAATAAATCAATTTTATCTATGAGATAATCTAAATAATGATGACATAAAGCCCAAAAAACTCATTATGATATCCATGTCCATATATTAGAACCTTCCATAAACACGTGATTGATCATTTCTACATTAATGTTGCATCACAAAATATATTGGGGTTTGGAAGACTTTTGTACAATAGATATCCTGTAAGCAAAGTTCCTATTTTCATAACTTCATCTAATACAAAAAACTTATGACTAGATGAAGATGCTGAATTAGACCAATTTTAAAAGCTCAATAAGGAAAAGAGCTGTTTGTTTTAATATATTTTTTAGTTTCTTAGTGTTTCATAAAATCATTATGTCTTTGACTATCAATAGATATTACATCACGCTTCGATTTTCTGGATTGTAATTTTACCACAATAAGTTCCAAACAAGCCAACTTGAAATTTAATATTATTTTTCTCTTATCAATATTAAAAACAAATTGCAATCCAATAAGTTCAGTCATGTAGAATTTTTTTGGAAAGAGAATTGATTTGATGATTTTGATAATAAAACTAATAAAATAATATTATTTAAATAAATATTTTGATACAAAATTTTTAGTCGGGCTTCCAAATTTTAGTAGCAATCAAGATATTCTCGAAAAAACTGAATTGATAATGTTTGTTTTCAGGGCTAAGCCAAATTTGCATAAAGTGACAACCTTGACTAATACTAAACATGCTATCCTATTTAAAGGGTTCAAATAATTTCAGCGGATTTGATGTCATTTTAAGAACAAGCTGAAAAGAAAAAGATAAACCTTTATCTGACGTATACTCAATTCATGCTATATAGAAGCTATTAAAAAGTATAAACCATGAGTCAAATAATAGTTTCCTTCATTAAGGCATTGGTTAAAAAATTTTTCTAAGGCTTCCTCTTTTTTTATATAAATTTATCGATTTCTTCTAACGGTACAAGACGATAATTGTGAATTCTGATAATAATAATAACTCGCCTCGCGAAAATCCGAGTTGATATTTCCATCCACTTACTGAATAGGATAAATAAAATTTACAGGTCAGGCCTATATGGATAGTTCTTGTGCCAACAACCAAATTTGTTTTCCTTTTGCCATGCGATTAGTGGTGTAAAGTTATTAAAAAAAATCTTTTTGTTAACTTTTAAATGTAAGGTGCTACCTTCAATGCAATAATAATAAGGTTCTATTTATATTTCCAGTTATTAGATTTCATGCAGACTCTTTATACTTTCACATTTCTCAAGGAATCAATCAACGACATCTGATAAAAACTTACCATTATTAAAGTTTGTTTTGGGGCTCAGATATTAAAATATTACAATCGTTCTAACTCTTCCTTTCTCTAAAGGAATCAAAGGTCAAAATTATGAGCGGATGGGGCTCTGAATTTATTGGAATCATCGCATTGGGTTTTCTGTTCAGGTCTTTGTGCTAAATTTTCACCATCTCTGGAATAAGTTAACAATCTTTGTAGTTAACTTATTTTCCTAAATCCTCTATTCCTTTAAACAATTTTTAATATTATGAGTTCGTTATCATTTAATAATCTTCACACTTCCAATTGCTTCTGCAAGCAAAGTAGTCTTTACATAGCAGGAAAGATAATTACAAATCTTTTTTCTTGAATAAAATTTATATTTTTTTGGCGTATGAATGCTTTCAAAAATTGGCAAAATGGTTATAGGTATAGGTCGTTGAACATATCCTTGACTCAAAGTTACAAATTAAAAGGTAGACGGATTATTGGTGTTTCATTTTGCTGCTAGAGATCCTGCCGCCATGAGGATAACAAAAGAGGAACTTACAATAATAATGGAAAGGATAACAACTCGATCTGTTTGGTTTAATATGGTTTTTAAGAAATCTTCATCAAAATCCAATAATAATGGTAGTAAAAAAAATTGGATAATTTTTCTAGTAGAATTTTTTGTCAAACAGTTCAAACAATGAGGCTCACTATGAGTTGATTAAACTTTATTATTCATATTATAATGTTTTTTTTGGCAGCCTAATACTAAGACCTGATAATTGTATGGTCCTGCTAATAGGAATTTAAATATCATGTGATCCACATTAAAAGTTTTGTCTGGTTTTGTTACGGTACATACTCATATAATCTACATTGTTCCTAATTTCAACATTAATGGTGATTAATAATTGCATATATATATATATTCCAATTAAGTTTTATTTAACAATAAAACATATTTACTAGTTGTCAGAAACAGAAGTTATTGGATTAGTTCAATCATCCATTTCAAATATTTTGGCTATTCCTTATCCAGATTATTCTCATTATAAAAAAATTAAATAATATTTTATTTATAAAAATATTATATACATTGTGACAATAGTAACAATCTCACAAATTGCTTTTGATAAATTTTTACAATTAAAAAAAAGATTCTTTTTTTCCTTTCAAATATTAAATCAAGGTTTTGGTATTTTCAAAGTTTTACTAACCATGGCGATGCCACTAAAAATAAATAGCAAAACAAATGGATGAAATTCCAAAAAATCAAATGATAAAATGGATGACAATGACAATGACATTGGTGATGATGATGGCGGTGGTGATAACGGTGATAATAAAGTTGATAATAAATTGACCGTTCCGCCAGGTAATCTATCGCCAATTCTTTCTTCTGAAGTCAGATAAGCAATTAATGCCACAAGAAATAATGTTGTAGGAATGGGAGTGCCCTCGAAGTAACGTACTTTTCCAGAACCTTTGTCTTTTGGCAATGATGCAACGGTTGCATTATAACGTGCTAATCTAGCTATTCCACAACATATAAAAACTGATAAGAGTATTGTATCAAGAAATGTACGCATTCCAACTGCATATGCACAAACTGCTGGAGCAACACCAAATGATACCTATTATAAATAAACATTTATTCAAATGTTAATAAATATTACATGTAAATTTTTTTTTAAAAAAAGAAATTATATAATTGTTTACCAAATCTGCTAATGAATCTAATTCTTGACCTAAAATACTAGCAGTTTTTCTCCATCTTGCTACTTTTCCATCAAATAAATCAAGCATCATGCCTAAAGGCATTAACATCATACTTAACCATAAATAACTTTGATCATTGGTTATAGCATATCGTATACTTGAGAAAATCGAACATGATCCACATAAACCATTACCAAAAGTAATAAAATCTGCTAAATGAAAATTTCTAAAAGAAAAAAAAACTTTTTTTGTTAATCGAATTCAATATATTTGTGATTGGGATTGATTCTTTTGCTTTAAAACATACCGAACTAAAGAAAAATGTTCATAGTTTTCGTAACTTTTTAATGTAAACCCAGCACTATCACTATCAACATCTACTTTTTCTTGGTCTTTATTTTTCTTTTCTGAATAATTACGTTTATGTGTTCCTTTATCATCCATTTCATCTATTATGTATGTAGCAATAAATAACCTATCATTATCATGTAGTCGATTATAAAAAAAATTTTGATTTTTATAGTCACACTGAATTAGTATTTCGCACTTATGACGTCTCGATGCATCAATGATAACACAATGCATAAAAATACAAAAATGGAAAATGCCAAGGTAGGTTATCTAATTAAAAATCACATGATTGAATCAATACCTCCCCTGAACAATACAATATTAGTAGTAGTAGTGTTATTAATAGCTACAGCAGTAGACATGTCGATCCCGTGAAATTACGGATGACTGTTATATACGTAGTCACTCACAGGACATTCCCGCAGATATATAAATAGTAATAGGGGATCGGGAACTGCATCATAGTAATAGTAATAGTAATAGTAATAGTAAATTTTTACAAATCAAATGATTTCTTATCCCCATTTAATACCCTTGCTGTGTAGCAACCACCGCCAAATTTGATATATAACTTCTTTATCACACCATATGTATCTGCTTTAAGAAAATTTTTAAAGCAAGTTGTCAATAAAACCGAAAATAATCTGACCCTCAAATCCAAATTTTGCCTTATATTCATATACGTAAAATTTTTTTAACGCGTCCAATTGCAAGTATAAGTAGAAATAAATGTCCAAATATTACATTATTTACAGATTTTTGATCATTTAAGTATGTCTTTTATAGTAAAATCATTTATTTAAAAGTAAATATGATAAATAAATAAATATTAAAAGCTATATACCTGTGTAAATAATGATTAGAACAATAAACAACAACAATAATGATTAAATTTATCTCTGACTTTATTTATTTATTTATCATAGTAATGTTATTAAATATAAGTTAAAATAAAAGAGAAATTTATATAAACTATTAATGTTTGATAAAACGTTCGTTATAATATTTTTCAAGCTTCATATATCTTGTCCTTAACGCTTTTACAAATTATTAAATAATTGTTAAAACATTCGTTAGTATATTTTGCAATCTTCAGAGATCTTGTCCTTAAAGCTTACTCCGATCACTTTCTATACAAACTATTGAATAATTGATAAAACGTTCGTTAGAATATTTTGTTCATAAATCTTGTCCTTAACGCTTACTTCGATCAATCCTATCTTAATCATTATTATCATCCTCAAAAAACAATGATTCGTTGTCGTCATTGCTACTAATTATAATATTATTGATTGACGGATCTTCATATATTACAAAATGTAACCAATCAAATCAATTAGCAAATTTTTATTTTTAATTTCTTATGTTTCCTTTTAACTAAATAAAATAAATAATAAAAATTAACAAAAAGAGGAGTCATGTCACGAAGGGTCAATACACCCAACATGGGCCACTCACGTGAGTTCCATCCTCAGCCACGCGGGACTTTACAGCCAGTCCAAAGTGAGGCATACACCTGAGGGAGCCGGACACAGGTTGTCCATAATGGGTACTTCATCATTGCATGACTTTTCTCCGGACGATTAGTAATTATTGATCCCATTGTATAACTTATATACCAACTTTTTTCGAGTTGTGTCAAAATATGGGATACCAACCAGTTTACAACATTTCATTGGATAAATTTTATTCAATTGTGTAATCTAAAAAAAATAGAAAAAGTAGACTGTTAAATACAAGATGTATGACGACATACGAAGCTTCCAAAGCAAGTTTGTAAAATATACTGATGAACATTTATCAATTATTGAACAGCTTGTATCGAAATAAGTGTTAAAAGTCAAGATCTATGAATCTGTTTGTAAGATATATTTAATGAGCGCTTTACCAATTATTCAAATAATTATATAGGCGGGCTTGGTCGAAGTAAGTGTTAAAGTCAAGATCTATTTGCAAATCAAGTTTAAGATGAACGTTTATTATTATAGGTGGTTTTGATCAAAGTAAGTCTTAAAGTCGAGATCTATGAAGCTGTTTGTAAAATGTATTTAATTAACGTTTTATTATTATTAATTATTCAATAATTATATAGTCGGGTTTGATCGAAGTAAGCATTAAAGTAGTCGAGATTAAAGACTAGTGCCGTAAATTATGATGATGGTAGTAATTGTATTTACGGCATATAAAAAGTGGTTGCAATTACCTTTGCGACCACTTTTGCAACCATACTTTTTCCTTTTTTGGATTACGGCACTAGTCTTTAGTCGAGATCTATGAAGCTGTTTGTAAAATATATTTATCAACGTTTTATTATTATCAATTATTCAAATAATTATATAGGCGGGTTTGATAGAAGCAAGTGTCAAAGTCAAGATCTATGAGGTTTGCAAAACGAATGTTTATCATTATAGGCGGGTTTGATCAAAGTAAGTCTTAAAGTCGAGATCTATGAAGCTGTTTGTAAAATGTATTTAATTAACATTTTATTATTATATAGGCGGGTTTGATCGAAGTAAGTATTAAAGTAGTCAAGATCTATGAAGCTGTTTGTAAAATGTATTTAATTAACATTTTATTATTATCAATTATTCCATAATTATATAGACGAGTTTGATCGAAGTAAGTATTAAAGTAGTTGAGATCTACTAAGTTGTTTGTGAAATATATTTATCAACGTTTTATTATTATCAATTATTCAAATAATTATATAAGCGGGTTTGATCAAAGCAAGTGTCAAAGTCAAGATCTATGAAGTTTGCAAAACGAATGTTTATCAATTATTCAATAATTACATAGGCGGGTTTGATCGAAGTAAGTACTAAAGTAGTCGAGATCTATGAAGTTGTTTGTAAAATATATTTATCAACGTTTTATTATTATCAATTATTCAAATAATTATATAGGCGGGTTTGATCGAATCAAGTGTCAAAGCCAAGATCTATGAAGTTTGCAAAACGAATGTTTATCAATTATTCAAATAATTATATAGGCAGGTTTGATCGAAGTAAATGTTAGTCAAGATCTGTGAAGTTTGCAAAACGAATGACCAATAAAGTTGTGGGACTAAGTGACTTGCACTATATAAGGTTATGTCGAGAGATATGGTCAAGAGAAGAGTCAGAAATAGAGTTGTTTTTCGACCAAGTCGAAAACCAACCCTTTAAATACATCTTCGAGTAGTAAAATTTAATTTATTAGACTATTTTGAAGGTTTGTCGCATGCTTTCTTCCAACTTCTTAAATTTGAACCATTTGTCGAATATTTTTATTAACCCTCATATTAATTCATTTATTTATTTTTTATTTTTTTACGTTATCAAATTCACGATTTTGATTGGTCAATCAATGATTACATGGATTAAAATTGTGTTTTAAAACATAGTACTAATACAAATAATAGCTCTAAATCTTTAATTAGTTTCGACTAAATAAAATAAATAAACATTTAAAACCAAAATCATCCACTAATTAAACTAATATGTTAGTAAACCTATTCATTCTGATCCACATAAACATAATAAACAATTGTTATCATCAATTAATTCACGCTCTCCCAAACATAATTGGTAATACATGCAAATTAACATAAATTGTTGTAGAAATGAACTGTCGACGAAATGAACTGTCGATGAAATAATTTTCGACGAAACAAACTTTCGACGAAATGATTGTCGACGAAATGAATCAGACCCATATTACACGTAATCTTATAATTTCAATTAGTAATATTCCTTTTTCTGATTATGATAATAATATATATGACGAAGCTAAATTATTACAAAAATTCGATTACCTTTTTTTTTCAAAAAAATGCAATTAATTTATATTGCAGACAGTAACTTGATGGTAATAATAAACAAATATTAATAACAGGGCCCAATTTGAAAGTTTTGTATTTCGAAAAGTCCACATTGCTTGAGCCATTATCTAAAAGCAATAAGCGTCACGAAAAAATTATTAGAAGAATGTGATAGTCATGTAAACATACAGCTGAAGAATTTATACATTGTTCATTCTGATGACAAGGACGAAACTTTGCTTTAAAAATCCATGTCAATCAACTGGACAAGCATGTTAATAGATAATATTAATGTTGCTGCTTATGAATAATAAATATATAGTACTTGATTCAGCTCCTATTAGCTGCTGAATTAAAATTTGGTGACAATTCTTTTTCTTGGATTTAATTAGTAGAATTCGCTTGTACACTGAAAGTTTCTTTACACACAAACTTCTTAATTAAAAAAAAAAAAAAAATGATGCATACATAACATTTATTGAGGATTCCAGGATTTTCATTGATTGTGTGTGTGCGGGGAATATTAAGCTACCAGCAAGTTCATGAAAGTCCAACTATCTTATTATTTATGAAATTTCCTTGAATAGTATGTTTCGACACTTCTTCAAGAACACTTTTATTCAATTTTTTTTTTAAAATTATAAATAGGTAAGGAGGTTATTGTTCATGGAACTTTTTTATTAATATTGCAACCGATTTTACTAGTGATTTTCATCTTTATGGGTCAGCGTCCAACAATTGTTCTTGTTTCGGAAGCAACCATTCAATTTTACTACAAATTACCTGTACAAGGTTTTCTATTTTGAATAATTCGCCGGCGGATGTGAAAATAACTAGGATAAGAGCTAACGTTAAATTTGTCACGGACACAAAGAATTACAGGCTCTTAATATTAACTTGAGGATTCGAATGGGTTGTAAGTCGATTATCATCATTATCAGCAGTTGGCACTCCAAGTTCTTCGCTTATTGTATTACAGTTACAGTATACCAATATGTAAAATATATACATATTAATAATGGAGCCGATTATAATTGCGTATTTACGGCAACCGAAATTATTTGCGTAATAGCAATAGTGATATAGTAATAGTAGACTTTTTTCCAGTAATTTCGTAATTCATAAATAATTATGGAGCCAGTTATAGATAGACAAGAGCCATCATTCTATGGGATTTCAATTTGTTGGGCCCTGGAAACCTTTAAAATTACCCCATAACTTGATGAGTATATATTTAATTTTAATCTTAAGCCTATATATATATATTAAAAGTAATTTTACAAAAAAAAAAAAAAAGGAATAACCAAAAAATAAAAAAAAATAAAAATAATTAAAAAATAATTAAAAATCTAAAAAAATAAAGAATCATATCTTCTTCGGACCAGCGAATGGCTTAGAATAACTAAAATCATTAACTAACTAATTAATCTTACCAAACCAATCTATTGAAATTTCAATCTCTTATTTTTTTCTTCTTTATCATCACTCCTCACATCATGATTATCATTACCCCTCTTTTCACCTTTCATATTCTCCTCTCTATAGACAGAAAGATAATTAAAAACATCTGTATCAGTGGTGGTGTATTCAATAGTACTTTTCCTGAAACCGTTAAATTTAGAAGCAGCGCAGACCGTATACGCGCCCATCTCTTCAAAATACAACCAATCACCCTGTAATAATTTTGGTAGATTTCCTTTTTTCTTAACACAATCAATTGAATCACATGTTGGTCCCCATATGCTACAATCGAAGTGAGGTTCCTCACTAAAATCCTTACCAAACACAAAAACTTTATCTTTCACCAATACCTTTGGTTGAACATCTTGATGATCATACATGATACAATTGAACGCTCCGTAAACCCCATCATTTATATAATCTTTATTTTTTTTTTTTTGCACATATATATATAAATATGTATAAATATGTATAAATATAATAGAAATAAAATTTAGTTAATAAATGTAGTGTTGATAAAAAAAAATATATATAAATATATATTGTTTTACTTACACATATACTTAATGGGAGGATTACTCACGGATGATGATGAATCTTTGAACACATTATTCGTGCTTTGACTTTTTTGCTCCTTTTTATCATTTTGTTCGTATTCATGATCATTATTACCATTAACATTAGGTTCACTATTACCATTAACATTAGGCTTACTATTACCATTAACATTAGGCTCACTATTACCATTAACATTAGGCTCACTATTACCATTAACATTAGGCTCACTATTACCATTAACATTAGGCTCGCTATTACCATTAACATTAGGTTCGCTATTACCATTAACATTAGGTTCGCTATTACCATTAACATTATGACTATTATCAACATTATCATTTTTATCGACACTTTGATTTCCAGTGATAGCTCTTCTTGCAATAATATGAGTAGCAATTGTGAAAGCTGCTGCGACGTAATAACGACCAGGTTCTGCGATTATACGCACATTAGTTTCTACAGGGAAATGTCTATCGATTGCAGATGAAAGAGCTTTTGCAATTTTTTCAAATGTGATGCGGTTATCATCATTGGTATTTTTGATGCTATTATGATCACTATTATTATAATCGTCGCTACTAACACTTTGGTGAACGTGAGAAAATCCACCGCCAACATCAAGTAAAGTGAAATTAAATCCATAATTTAAAGCTTTATCAAATACATATTTTGCACGATAGACTGCATCAACAAACGCATTCTCGTCGTAACAACCACTGCCAACATGAAAACTAATAAATTTAAAAACGAACAAATATAACAAATGTGATAAAAGAATGAACGAATGAATATATGTAAATATTTTTTATCTAATTAATTATATTAGAATGCATAGATACCTGACACCAATAACATTCAAGTCTAGGTCTTTAGCAGTTTGTAATAGCAACTCGACAGAGTCTAATGATGCACCAAATTTCAACCCCAATTTACATAATGATTTTGAATCATCAGTAAGAATACGTAACACCAATTGAGCATCAGGGAAAAAATTTTTGATTTTGTACAATTCCTCAACATTATCAAAAGTCATCATTTTCACTTTATGTTCAGAAGCAAATCTGATAAAAGAAGCTTGTTTACATGGATTTGCGTAAATAATTCTTGATGGGTCTACTCCCAAATCTAAAATTGTTTGAATTTCAGATTTACTAGCACAATCAAAGCCTGTACCTAGAGCCGATAAAAGTTTTAGAACTAAAAGGTCCGGATTACATTTAACAGCTAATAATAACAACAACAATAATAAAATAAAAATAAAATAACAAAAATAAAAATAAAAATAAAATAACAATTAGCAACAACATTAGAACAAGAAAGAATTAAAATTAATTATTTAACATTTACCATAAAAAGGCTCAATACGAGGTAATAGTTTCCTCCAACAAATATGCTGATGATAAATTTCACCAAGATCAGCAACGAAAAAAGCATTTTCATGTTCTGCTTCTGAGTCATTATTATTAATATCGCGTGAAGAAATAATTTTTTTTAAAACATCTTTAACTGGCAACTTGTTGATATGTGGAATATCAATATTTTTACGCTGAATTTTATTAACACTATTATTAAAGTTCTTAAAATCATTTTTTTGGTTTTGTAATTGTTGTGACTGCTGCTGTCTTTGCTCTATTTCACATTGAGTTATAGTTTCAACAGATTCTTTCATCTCCCGTACCGGACCCAGATTTATCCGGCAAAGAATACGTTCATGCAAGGAATAAATGTTAAAATTAGTTTTCGATCTTATTGTAAAAAGAATAGAGTTACAATAAATATTAATGCTTAAGACATTATAGAGTAAAAGTTACACAGATTAAACAGATGGATGGATGGATGGATGGATGGGATGTTAAATATTAATATACATGTAAAAAAAATTTTACGCCACAGGTTTTGTACAACCCTAAAAACTCATCATTTGGGGGTTCTCTAGCAAAAACCGGTTCCGAGGTCCACTGATCAAATTTAAAGTTTATTGATGTTAATATATAAGTTTATATTAATAATATAAAAAATTTAACATTCTCTGTTGAAATTTCGTTGTAACTAGTATATATATAAATTTAGAAACCATATTCTGAAATTCAAAAATTTTGATTGGCATGTAACGTTACACACAAATCCCCCACACTGAATTTCGACAACTTTGCAGAGATTGTCTCGAAAAATTTATTGTGTTTCTCAAACCCTCTCTAAATATTAAAAATTTTTAACATTACAAAAATATTAAAAGGAAAATTAAATCGTATAACAAACTCGCAGGTGCTAATATAAAAATAATCATCATTCATTATTATTTTTATTCTTATAAATTTCTTTTAAATAAATTTTGACTTGCGCAAGACGTTTTAGCAACCCAAGATGACTTTAAACACAAAAACTTTTACTTCAGGAATTAATTGAAGCGAGAGGTTATAAAAGTAATCTTCTACCCGAAATTTGATTATGCATTGAGGACTACTAAATGATATTATGTTAGACCACACTGCAATTACGCTTGGAAAGGTCTTTCCTTCCCAAATGCCTTTGATCCCATACCAATATTAAATATACATTTTACATTGGAAGAAAAGTATACGAGAGCATTTTTATAATACAAAATTTTTAAAAAAATGTAATCTTGATTTTCTTAATCACTATTATTATTTACAATTTTAATTGTGTTTCGGGTTTTTTTAACTGAGAATTTATATGATGTTAGAAACACAACAAATACATTTATGAAAACTTAAGCTACAAACTGATGTGAATTTTATTTATTTCTTTATACAAAATTTTGTATAATTATAATGATCAAAAGAGTACTTTCTCTCAAAACAACTTGTAAAAGTCTACTAATTTAAAAAAGTTAAATAATTTAACACTTTTGTTTTACAAGTTAAAAATTGCCTCATTTATACGTTATGAACCTAGATAATAACTACAGCACGAATATGATGTGATTTTGGTTATTTACGTGTTTTTACACACATTGTTAACTTTAAAATCAAAAGGGCCAGTGCGATAACCAATATCGCATGTTAAATATTGTTCTATTTCTAATCTTAAAAATGCATTATATAATTTTTTTTTTTTTATCGACGTAATCTTGTTGTGACATTTATTAATTTAAAATTGATTAAAATATATAATACATATAAAATTTAAATTGTTTACAATGCACAACTCCCCTCCCGTTTTACCATAGAATGGTATTCGTTTGGAATGACTTGGCGTCGTACAAAGTCTCATGAGGCCTCCTTTTTTAATTAAAGAATTAAGCTACTGCACCCCATTTCTTTGACTATGTAAAACATCTTGTCAAGATGCGTATATTTTCCCATTGGCTTTCTTTTTTAATCCAAGAATCTACCCAACTTATCCAACTTAAATTTGAGAGAGATGTTTCATTATTAGTGTTATTGGGATCGAGATCTTTCTCTTTTTTTTCTTCCTTTTTTTTTTCCTCTTTATTATATTATTCTCTCTCTTTATTTTCATTTGTTTAGTGATGTTTTCCTTGATTTCTTCTTGAATTACCAACTCACACCTAGGTTTACAAAATATCTTTATATGTGTTGTGATAATTGTTTCAATTATTATATTAGTGATGTTGGTTGTGGATTTTGTTACACTTATAAATACATTATATAATTTTTATTAATTAAAGTATTAGTTATAGCAATGAAAAATATCATGTGATTATTAACGCCTATTCGTGACGTCATAATTACAGGATCTTAACTAATCTATAACATTATTTTATAGTAATAGTGAATGAACCATCAATGACTTCGATTATGTCATATCCGTGAAAATAACGGTTAGGTTACACATAAATATTATAAGTGGACTGCGCGATTTTTATTTTACAAATTGACTTTCGGCTCAAACCGGTTTAATAAAATCCCATAGATAAAGTTGATATCATCGATTGCCATTTTTAAAAGTGTTATTATTATTAATGAATTTCAAAGGTTACACAAAAGGTATTTTTAAAGTATATAAAATTTTCAATATGGGGGATTGAAGGGATTGGATAATTTTTAACAAGTAGAGAATCACGTGGTAAATTAATATGGTGTACGTCATCTAAAGACGACACCAAAATTGACGATCTTTGAAAACCAATAACCTCCAAATTAGGAAGTTTAGAAAAAAAATTAAACCGATAGAATTAAAGCTAAGACCTAAGGTCCATTTCTATCGGTTTACTTTTTTCATTATCATAAAAATTTGTGGAGTTATTGTGGTTCAAAAATTGAAGCATTTTATATATGTCCGAAATTTTAAAAATTCACATATTAATATATATAGACAGACTCTTTTATCGGCCAATTTATTTTTAATCATTCTAATTTGTTGTACGACCATGTGGTAATATTGTTGGAACGCGCGATTTTAAAATTTTATTCCCCTTAAACTGTTACATTTTTAAATAATGGAAATATAGTTGATTTAAATAAATTTGTAATTTTATCATATCCTCATATGGGTCGTATTTGGCAGAATATGCAGTTCAAAAATATAAATCACATAGACGAATACCTCAGTCTATATTAAATGAATTAGATAAAATGGATGGATAAAACTTGTTATTTTGTCATTTTTATTAAATTTCCTTTTTTAGAAAGTGAATTGACAAGATGCGTTTTTAAAAAAACAAAAATTGTTGATTATACTAAAATATTAAAACAGATTTTTTTATCTTAGAATTAATGTACAATGTAGTCTTCTGAAAATTTTACTGAATGTATTGTTTGATCTAATAAAATCTAATTGAAATGTACTAAAAAAAAATTTTTAAAATATATAAATACGATAGATTTTGGATGGAGTTTGATGTATCAAAAAAATAATTATTATAAATAAAAAAAACCATTTAATAACATTAATTCAACTAAACCTTTTTTAAAAAAGCCATCTAAACTGACTATCACTTGTGTGATTGATTCAATCATTAGCACTAAGAAACAAACAATTTCAGAATTATTGAAATTAATGCCATTACAAAGGTGAAATAAAATAAAATTTTTTAAATATAATTAATTATATGTTTTTAATAAAACAAACTATTTAATCATTTCCTTGTATGTGAATGTCTTCATCCATCAAATATTCATGATGGTCATGATTATTATGCAATACATTTGATATCATCATTTACATAACTAACAATTGCATCACCCAGGTAGTAATAACACCAAGGTCATTTAAAAATGAAACTCTTAATAATGCACATTTACCTAGATCTCTGAGGTTCACAAGAATAAATAAATAGGGAGGATCACAAAATAAATTATTTTCCTGATTATCAATTATGGTTCCTCATGAATAATAATAAATCTGATGTTGATTTCAGGTGTCAGATTTAATTAAAATTTTCCTATCACCAACATGCAATTGTGGTGCAATGCACACCTTGTCCCCATGGAACTTTTTCATTTCCACAAGCAAGGCGATCGAAGGCTTTTATATGGTTGACAAAAACTTCCCATATCATTCCCTTTCATTGAGCTATATTCCTCCAACCTAGGGTAGGAGGTTATATGGGCAAAAGCCCCCATTTAAAAAATATCAAATTCAGTTGGTCAAATAAAAATTAAAGGAACAGAAAATTTGGGAAAATGATTAATTTATACAAAACATACCAAAAAAAAATCTGAACCATTTTATAACTTTTTTCTTGTTGGCCATATTGCTGACAAAGATATATACAATCATGCAATAATTTTAATCTATAGGACAGGGGACTGATTGGGCAAAAACCAGACAGTCCCCTACCCAAAATTATAAATTGATTAGTATCAAAGAACAGAAAATTTAGGAAAATAATTATACAAAACAAACACTATTTTACAACTTTCCTCTTAATATCAGTGCCCAAATGCAATTTCAGGGTCACCAACCCACTCTGAATTGCAAATTTCCTCCTGTGCTTGAAATGAGTTGCTGATTCTCTTAATATTCTTCCATAGTTGTGACTTCTTGGACACAGATCCATCCTTACCCTAGAGGTAGGATCATTGCGAGCAACTTTTCATCAGCCATCTCTGGTCTGGGTGCTGTGAGGGAAGATTAGGTAGAATGTCATTGATGATGATGCAGTTTCAGTAAACTCCAGGACCACGTCCCCCCCTGAAAATTTAACAGCATCATTGTATCATCAGGGCACACTAGTCAGATTAGCCTTGTGTACATGAGGAATGACTCTAAAATGTTCAAGGTAGTGTGTGTGCTTTAATGTCTGTAAATTTTCGATAATCAAACATCACATATTCAAATTGGAATTGTTTCAGTCATGCTGCCTTGACATCTTGTAATTATATTAATATTAATAACAGGAGAGAACGTACTGGGAACACAAAAATTAACAGGAGGGAATACAAAATTTTAACCCATGCAATTTGTTGATT